CCACAACACCCGGCTGTTTTTTGGTTGCAGCCATCATTGTTGTTTGGCGGGTCCGGGCTGGATTCGAACCCGCCAGCTGAGGTGTATGTGGCTGGCACCTTAGCCGGTTGAGCCATAGGCGCCGAGCCTCAAATTCCAACTTATAAGAGGAATATATATTGACTAGGTCTGTTCAATGCATACTAAAAATGAACAACTCAATAAAAATGAATGACACTCAAGCTCTCACACTCAGGAACTCAATTTCTAGTCCAAAGTTAACAAGAAACCAGTGTGGTTCCAGGGTCAGCTAAGGTGTTTACGTCCATTTCACTTTGTGTCAGAAATCCAATTAGTTTGTGCAGAATACTCTCCCTCTAGGGAAAAAGCCATTCTTTTGTTTGTTTGTTTTCTTGAGACCGAGTTTCACTCTGTTGCTCTGGGTAGAGTGCTGTGGTATCATCCTAGATCGAGCAACCTTAAACTCCTGAGCTCGAGCAACGCTCTCGCCTCAGCCTCCCAAATAGCTGGTGCTACAAGCATGTGCCACCAAATAGGACTAGTTGTTGTTTGTTTGTTTTTTCTTCCTATTTTTAAGAGAGATAGGGTCTCACTTTTGCTCAGTCTGGTCTCCAATTCCTGAGTTCAGGCAATCTACCCACCTGGGCCTCCCGGAGTGCTAGGATTATAGACGTGAGTCACTGCATCTGGCCCATCCCTCCTCATTCTTTGACATGCTCTGTGCCCTGAAAGACTAATTTCTATAGCCTGCTCTATTTTGGCCCCCTTGCTTTCGATTTCTGATTATATTTGCTCAATAGGTGGCAGCAATAGAGAATGAGAAGGCTTGAGGAAGAAGAAGATTAGGTAATGATTCTCCCTGCTTCTTCCCTGGGGACTACAGCTTTGGTGGTAGTCAGAGCTTCTGTTTCTTAAGATTTTCTCTCACAGCTATGACTCTCACCAGGTTCTGCCAACAGCCCTTCTTTCCTTCTAGGATTCATGGTTCTACTAGTTCTCTTAACTCTGCCCACATTTATAAAAAGTTCCTTACATTTAAGGTTCTCTAAGTCCCTTTGAGTATGGCATCTATTTCCTGCCAGAATCTAGATATAGGATTATAGGGGAATATTATTGTCAAATGATTATTAATTGAATACCCCAAAATTTTCATGCATTTTTTTTTCATAAATTCTACCTACCAAATAATGTTAGGAATATGTAAGATATAATGTTAGTTATATCTTCCTATAAGCAAAGATATACAAAGATACTAATGTTTCATATATCTTCTAATTTTGTGAGATCAAACCTATGATAAATAAAATTCTACCAACCTACTGAGGTCATTTTGATTTTAAGTAAGATTCAATACCTGATAACAGCATCTTTTCATAAGATACCTAAAGTAAGTTTTCACATCTTCATATTTGTTAAAAAGTGACATGGAAGGAAGCTAAAAATACTTATATAAACTGATAAAGAAAAAACCTTTCTGAAAAATCATATAAGCACAAATCACTTAATGAAGCCCATTAGTTCTAAGAAAACTATAGAAACTGGTCTGAATTCAATGCAAAATGAATTTGGAGCAGTCATGGAGATTTGGCTTAGACTCAATTTCTAGTCCAAAGTTAACAAGAAACCAGTGTGGTTCCAAGGTCAGCTAAGGTTGTTTACGTCCATTTCATTTTGTGTCAGAAATGCAATTAGTTTCATGTACAAATAAAGTTTATCCTACACCCAGATGAAGGAAAAAAACACATAACTAACATGCTGAAATAGCTCCCAAATGAAACCAGGGTCTTTCAGGGTAATGCAAGACAACCTGTCTGGGTTTAGAACTGAACTTCTGCCATAAGCCTAGACTTACAATGACCTTGAGGAAAAGCATTAAGTTTCATTGGTACTGTTTCTCTTTAAGAAGCCATCGCATTCTTATGTCCTTCTTTAATTATTCCAAATTATTCAAGCAGATGATATATTCTAGTATATTTTCTAAATGGTGCTGAAATCTAAAATTTATAGTAATTCACTTTCAAACTTTACTTTCTTTTTTTTTTTTGAGACAGAGCCTCAAGCTGTCCCCCTGGGTAGAGTGCCGTGGCATTACAGCTCACAGCAACCTCCAACTCCTGGGCTCAAGCGAGTCTCCTGCCTCTGCCTCCCAAGTAGCTGGGACCACAGGCGCCCGCCACAACGCCCGGCTATTTTTTGGTTGCAGCCGGCATTGTTGTTTGGCAGGTCCAGGCTGTGGATTCGAACCCGCCACCTTAGGTGTACATGGCTGGCGCCTTAGCCGGTTGAGCTATAGGAGCCGAGCCCAAACTTTACTTTTTAAAACCCCAAAGTGGTGATGATAAGAAAAGCAGGTATAAAATTTTATTAAATGCTAAATAACACGGAATATAAATATGTATACTCAAAATAAACTAATAGTCACCTCATTATGATTTATATGTGATTCCAAGTATATCAACTGAAATGAATTCAGCAGTACTATATATAAAAGCACACATAATATTCCACTGGTCTTCTAGGATATAAATGTATGTGTGTGGGTAGTATGAAAAAAAGAGCGATAATCTTGTACATAGAAAATAAATATGGGCCAGGTACAGTGGCTCATTCATGCCTGTAATCCTAGCACTCTGGGAGGCTGAGGAAGGTGGATTGCCTGAGCTCACAGGTTCAAAATCAGCCTGAGCATGAGCAAGATCCCGTCTCTAAAAATAGCTGGGTATTGTGGCTGTCGATTATACTTCCAGCTACTTGGGAAGCAGAGACAAGAGAATCACTTGAGTCTAAGAGTTTGAGGCTACTGTGACCTAGTGCTGTGACAGCACTCTACAAGGGCAACGAAGTGAGACTCTATATATATATAGATTCTATATATATATAGACTCATATATATATGATACTCTATATATATATATAGAGAGAGAGAGAGAGAAACAGAAGAATTTTGGAATTCTTCTGTTTTCTGGAAAAGATTCTGGGTAATTATGATAAACTATATATGAATTACTCTTCTACAATATTTCCATAGGTCTTTGAATTTTATAAAATGTTCCTAAATCATTTTTATAAGTTCTATTTTGTAGCTTCTGTATATTTTAATCAAGTACCATTACTAATACAAATTCACAAATGAAAAAAAGCATAGCCAAGAAGTCAGAGATAAGACTTCAGAATTTTGAAAGTTGTACACAGAACAGCACAGTCCACTGACATGAATTATGTTCTCACATGAAGCCTGGGAAACTAAGTCTATAAAAACATTATCTGACAAAATAAAAGGAGAAAATCCAGGATCAATAGTTGAGTACACAGAAAGAATGCTAATTCTAAGAGAAGCTGAAAATAGCTTCTTTAACCTTGAGTATAAAGACATAAAAGCAATTCCCACACTTGGATATTCTACAAATGGACTAAATAAATGATCTGACAGTAAGCCATATGCAATTTTTATATTTTGAATTTCTACATTACACAAATATTTCATCAAGGCATTCATTTGATCATTTCCTTTCTTCTGTTCTCTAATTGTATCACATTGTACCTTTCTACAGAATTAGAAAATACCTTAGTACTTTCCATTTCCTTCATATTTTCTTGGTTTTATTGAGGCCTAGTACTAAGTTTGACTAAAATCAGACTTACTACTTTGTTTCAGTTAATCAGCCTCATTATTTTTCAGTCATCTCATTATTTTTCAGAACTGGTCACTAGCAAAAGATAATGAACTGCAAACCAACACCATTTGCATTTTGACTTACAAATTATTCTTTTACTTTTCTCTCATTCAAGGATTATAATACTATTAAGATAATAAAAACACTGAGAAATTCAACATTCATTCCAAATAGCCTTTCTTCCAAATGAAGGTAGGTAATACAGGAGATACGCACATCTCATTATGGTTTGTTGAAAAACACAAATAATTTAGAAGAGACAGAAACTGTAGAATAATTTATTGGTTCTTAAAACAGATAAGAATAATCGAGTTATAGAAAACAAATTCCTGGCCTATTAAAAAATTAAATTTTAACTATTCAAATTTATTTGGGCCATTAAAATTCTACTATAGGCTCCTTTTGTTTAAAGCATCCTTATATATAAATATTGTAACAGTTTATATATTGAACCACAATTTTATATACCAAATTTTTATTTCCTCTAAAAAAAAAAAAATACAAGCAGTGGTAACACTTGAATTTTAGGAGACAATATGAAAAGAAATTGGGAACAAGAAAGCTGACTAAAGATGCCTGACACTGGTCCTCCTGACAAGAAAGGACCAAGGTAACAAACAGCTAGGCTTCTACTGTACTGTCAAAGGAAGAGCACTGGGCTGTAGCAAGATAAGTACAGAGGTTCCTATGGTGCTAGGAAGCACAGAAGGGCAGTGTGGAGATACTCTGCTTCTGCAGCCCTGTTTTGCCTATCCAGACTGGCCAGGAGTCAGAAGGGACTTCCCTTTGCGGGGGAAAAGGTACGCTGAAGAACGCCACCAGACCCCACTGGCACGGCAAATACCTTCAATCCTCACTACAGGAAAATCCCATTGTCCTCATAAACCCTGAGCCCAAGAATTCAGGCAGGTGCACTGCTCCAAATTAAGAGCACAAGATAAGCACTCCCCACCTATTACCCTCATCTTAGGAGCCAAGATCCTAGGACAGTGCTAGTTTGAGACCTGAACCACCTCTGGATTACGCTCTGCTCTGAGGACCAGTAACCATGGTACTTCTGC